CGCAGAGGGGAGGACAGAGAAAATCTCAAAGACCGGCAACACCAGCCCAGGTGTCTTAAGGTAGAAGCCTGGAGCCCAGCACTGCATTTTACAATTCAGACTGCTGATTTTACTCAGTGCCTACTGTGTGCCCCTATAGGGCTAGCACTTTTGCGAATATGAATCGCCTGAAGCTCAACCAGGTAAATGACGTTTCACCTTTCTGGTTTTGTCTGTTGCGATCACTGCTATGTCCGCAGAGCCTAGAATAGTGCCAGGTATAAAGCATGCTCTCAATAAATGTGTCTTATGAGTGAATTGCCGTATCCGACGCTGAAATCATAGTGAATTCCAGGTGACCCTGCATTATTTTTAATTGTAACACTGGATCACTGAAACATGTCTATTTCTTACTTCTTGGGCCGAGACCTCTTCTACACAATTAGGTCTAAGGCTGAAGGAGCACTGCCACTAGGTACCTCCCTCACCCAGTCCCACTGACCCACGGCCGAAGACCTACCCTATTAAGGTAGCGCCCAGGTTTGTCTCAGGGTCACGTGAATTTTGCTGCCCGGACTGACGATAGGCGTGTCATGTCTCGCGCGTACGCAAAGCGTCTGCGCCAGTTTCTCGGGAGGACGCACTCAGAGGCCTCGCTTCCTCCCTGGCGCCGCCCAGTTCACTACTGGGGGGCGGGGCGAAAGCCGGACTGAGAAACGAGGCGGGGCAGCGGCTGTGCGCGTGCACGGAAGAGAGGCGAGGTGAGGGGCGGTGTCGCCGCAGCCGGCCTCGCTTGAGTTATCTGCGACAAGATGCAGGTGAGCAAGCCTTGGGCGCGAGACCTGGAGGCTGCGGTGGCTCGTTTGCTCCTTTGGGTCCACGCCGGCGGCGGACTTCCGCGGCCAGGCCTGTGGAAAGCGCCGGACGCCCCAGGCACCGAGAGGCCGCGCGTGTCAGGCCCGGCGCAGACGCAGTGTGGGAGGGTGGGCGTGGTCCCGTCGGCTGGGCGTCCCCGCCCCCTCTCTGTTCCACCCTTCAAATCTCCATCCCCTGGGGCTACCTCTCCTTGAGGTCGAATCCCACCTGGCAGAGTTACTTCCTACTTATTAACTCTAACACCTGAGCAGGTATGTTATGGAACCGTTGCACGGATCGGGAAGCCGAGGCTTGGAGAAGTGGAGCCCTGCCTGGGGGTTCCATAACATAAAAGTGGCGGAACCGGTGTTCCTGACTCCTCTTAGAGCCGGGCGAGGGGTTAGTTACACTCTCTTCCCGCTCACCTTCGTGTTCAGGTTGAGGTGCGCTTCCCTGGCTTCCAGAGCTCAGCCCGAGGGTCCCTTGGCCCAGTTGCTTTCAGTCTTAAAATGGATAAAACTAGATCCCCTAGTTTTGTGCTTTTATCGTCTCTGGAATTTGTTAATGGAATTTGATTAAAACCCAAAGAAAAATGAAAGAAAATGAATGAAGACATCATGGAAAATGGATGCTTTTATGAGCAAAAATCTGTGACAACTAAAATTTTGTCATGTCCAAGGACCCTCTTCCAAAAGTCTTTCTACTGTGGTCAGGAATTCTGATCGAGTCGTCTGTGGCTTGTTGGCAAGTGGGAGTTAATGTTGGTTTGTTTGGGGCAGAAGGTATTGGGGGCTGGAGAGGATGATCATTACAAATATGCCCACAGTGTGTCTGCCACAAGCCAGACACTCTTAAATGGTGAAGAGGAAGCCCTAGGGCTGCCTTGGCCTCCTTTGCATTCTCTGTCCTTTATGTCCTTGCTTAAAAATGTCACCTTTTCAGAGGCTTTCCAAGACCACCCAATGGAAAGGATTGTGTTCCTTTTTCTTTTGAAATATCTCAGCAAGACTTGGAGCTGAGGCTGAAGCCTGGTTATCACAGTGCCCTTTCCACAGTGCTCCTTGATTTCATATTTCAAGACCTTTAGCAGTGTTCCTGCCAAGCCATGCAACACCAGTGTTAGGGCAGCTGGGTTCTGGAGCTAAGAGCCCACTTTGACATTTATCCTTCTGACATTTGATCTTGGTTAAATTTGTCTTGTTTCAGCATGGCAATCTTCCTAAACGCCATGTCCCTCAGGTACAGGTAAAGGGCTCAGAAGAGTTCCCAGCACCTAGTACTCAGTAAGCGTTAGCCATTGTGAGCTATTTCACTGGGTCTCAGCTCTCTCAGGTTTGGCCATCAGAGGGTTTGTCCGCCAACATCAGGCTCTCCTCCCTCTGATTTAACGCAGCTCCTCATGACTCTGAGATGCTCAATATCTCTGTTCTTGGGCACTTGGCACATGCTGGTCCCTCTACCTGGAAAGTAATTTCCTAAGTTCTCCTCATGTCTGGTTCCTTTTCACTTTTCAGTGATGGTTAAATGTCACCTCTTCTGAGAGAATGTCTCTACCCATCCTGTGGAATGCCGGTCCCTGTAACTATCTAGGTCAGCAGCCTGTTGGTCATCGTGCTTAGAATTTGTAGTATATATCTGTATATTTTATTGTTCATTGCTTGTCTCTTCCTCTTGATTAAAATAGATGGTTCTGGCATTCATCATGCTTCCCTACCATCTAGAGCAATAATTTACATATAGTAGGTACATATACTAGGTATTTAATAAATACCCATTGAGTGAATCACTCCAAGTCATTCATAAAAAATATTGAACAAATGCCAGGTCAGAGTCTGCGCATCACATCCTGATTCTTACCCAAATACTAGCTACTCTGTAGGGTTGGGAGCTTAGAGCGCGGGACAGGAAGAATGGAACAGGGAGTGTGGGTCTTTTGACATTTTCTTAGAAACAGGACATAGAATAATTTGGTTTGCATTTTTCTTCCCACCACCTTTCCCATTTGACCCCTTGCCCAATGTGGCTCCCTCCATAGTGTACTTTTCTCTCATGATATCCTTGGTCCCACTGCTCTAGGACCCCAACGCAGACACTGAGTGGAATGACATCTTACGCAAAAAGGGCATCTTGCCCTCAAAGGAAAGTTTGAATGATTTGGAAAAGGAAGCAGAGGAGGAGGAGCAGCGAGTCCTTCAGCAGTCCGTTGGTGAGCTTGCCTGTATTTTTTGTTCTGTGTCTGTCTGGGTAGGAAGCAACTTTCTAAGCCTCTGAACTGCTTTGGTGAAGGATCCTCTGAGCAAGAGTCGGGGAGCCAAGGATTGGAGTGCTGGCCTGGACACTGTTTGTGGGACCTCAAGCGAGTCGCAAGAAGTCTCGTCTTTCAACTTTCTGGACCATAGAATTAGGGGACTTCAGAGGCCCCCTCCATCACCATAGCTCCTTGTGTGTGTCAGATGAGCACATGATAACCCTGAAGAAAGTATTTTCTTGTCGTGATTCACTTGGGATACTGTCATGGAGATGTGCTCAAAGTTTTTAGTGTTTCTATTCTCCTTAGCTTATACTTTATCTTCTTTGTGGTTTGATTGAAAATATTCAAATAGTGTCATTTGAGGAAGCATAAGATGTTTGCAGTGTATGGGGTCTGAAAGAGGGGTTTCTCAAAGGTAACTACACCACCTGATTCAGATTCTCTTGGGGTGCTTGAAAAAAACCCTGTTCCTACTGAATCGGCACCTCTGGGGGTGAGGCTCAGGAACCTGCATTTTAAATAAGTGCCTCAGAATTTCTGACTCACAGAGTCAGAGTTTGAGAACCACTGATCACAGGGGCTAGTACTTTTGTCCTGTTTACATGTTAGTGCTAATTTAGAGGAGGATTTATTACAAAGCATTTAACCATCAAGTGTTTATTGAATGATTACTGTGTGTCAAGCGTTGCCCTAGGCAGTGGAGCTTTAGCCATGCACAGGCCAGATAAAAATCCTTGTTCTCATGGAACTTATATTGTAGTGGAAGACAGACAATAAACAGATAAGAAAGAAATAAAGGAAAATAAGGCAATGGAAAGGGCCTCGAAAGGGTTGGAGGAGGGGTAAGTGTAATTCTAGATAGGGTCAGAGAGGACCTCAGTGGGAATGGCATTTGTGTAGACCTGAGGGAGGTGAATTGAGCTGCTTTAGCAAGTGCAAAGCATGTTGGAGAACCTGCACAGAGCTAGTATGAGTGGGAGAGAGGAGTAATAAGTTCAGAGAGGCAACTAGGGGTCAAGCCATTTAGGACCTTGTAGCTTCTAGTAAGGACCTTGATTTTACACCTAATGAGGTGGAAGTCATTGACGGTTTGGAGAGAGAAGTGACATGTCCTCCATGTTGACAGCACCATCCTGTTGCTGCCGTGGACTGTAGGGGGCAAGGCAGGAAGTGAGGAGACTAGTCTGGAAACTACTGCAATAATTCAGGCATGAGATACTGTTGGCCTGAACTAGCATGGTGATGGTGGTGGTGGAGGAAGTGGTGAGAAGTGATCAGATCTGGATATATTTGAAGGTAGGGCCAACAGGATTTGCTGATGGATCCTGTGAAGGGTGTGAGAAATAAGTCAAGGATGACTGCAGGGCTTTGGGCTTGAGCCACCTGAAGGATGGAGTTACCCTGCTGCGATGAGGAAGGCTTGGAGAGGAGCAGGTCTGGAGGTGAGATCAGGAAGTCTGTTTGGGACATAATAACTGAGATTTTTTTTTTATTAGACAAATAGAGACGGTAAGTGGGCCATTGGGTATGTTTTTCTCCAAATCAGAGAATATGGGCTGGAGGCCTCAATTTGGGAATTGGCAGCATATTGGTAGTAGTTAAAGCCATGAGATGCAGTCACCAAGGGAGTGGGTATCGATAAAGAAGAAAAGGAGTCAAAGCAATGGACCCAAAGAAGGGCAGCTTAAAGGTGGGAGAAGGAGGCGGCATCCTGCAAGCCAGAGGAGAGCAGTCTCACAGAAGAGGCAGGGAGGGGTGGGATCCAGTGCTGCTCTTCAGTCAAGAAATAGAGGCCGTTGTTGACCTTGAGAAGAGCAGTTCTGTGTGGTGATGGGGCGGGGGTCAGGGACAAAGCCTGATTTGATGTCAAGAAGCAAGACTTGGCAATAAAAACAAAATACAGGCATCAGAGCCATTCCTTAAAAGAAAAGATACAGGCAGGAGAGAATACCAAGAGTCAGCGATAATCCCTTTAACTCTAGGAAGGGTGTGCTCACTCTGGGAGGGTACCCACTGGTCTCCTTCTACCGTGTTTCCCTGAAAATAAGACCGGGTCTTATATTAATTTTTGCTCCAACATGTACATTCATTTATTCATGTACAAAAATCTACACTTATTTAAACAGTCATGTCTGGCTGACAATCTTAACTGGGGCTTATGTTTGGGGTAGGGCTTATATTACAAGCTTCCTGAAAATGCATGCTAGGGCTTATTTTCCAGTTAGGTCTTATTTTTGGGGAAACATGGTACCTCCTGGGAGACAGGAGAACTGTGATCCACCTGTATCCCTGTATGTGCTTGAAGGTCAGATGAGGTGAGTCCAGGAAAATACAACTCTTGTTTTATTAATATAAACTTGGGGAACTTCTCATTCTTATCCTTACTATGGTATGGAGGTAAGAGACAGCCTGCAGGTACCAACATACTGGCTCTATCTTTTTAAAACACATCAGCTTTTTATTATTAGTGTCCGTAATACCTTAAGTACTTTGCATTCTGGTTTTAGGGGGCTGGGAGTCTTTTGGGTCACATGCACATCTATAGGAGAAAAGTGAAGGAAAGAAAACCAAACACATGTTTGTTCATCCTTTAAATTTTTTGGTTTTTGCCAACTTAACTGCATTCAGTGAAAACTTATGAAGACATGACTTTGGAAGAACTGGAAGAGAATGAAGATGAATTTAATGAGGAAGATGAACGAGCTATTGAAATGTACAGGTTAGTACCACCCAGAGGAACTGTTTGTTTTTCTGTATGTCACTGAAAGGTGTCCTTTGAAAAATGAATTTTCTGACTGAGGTAACATTTGGAAAGGACCATAATTAAATAATAATACTGCACATGTTAGCAAACTTTTCTTAGAACTTTGCCATGAGGCAAATAAACCCGGACCTTTATGAACATTGCTGTCAGAAAGGTGTACGTGTGTGTGTGTATATGTGTGTGTGTGTGTGTGTGTCTGTATATGTGTGTGCGCACATGGGTGCCTCTTTGTGTGTATGTGTGTGTGTGTGTGTGTGTGTGTGTCTGTATACATGTGTATGCGCACATGCGTGCCTCTGTGTGTGTGTGTGTGTGTGTGTGTGTGTGTGTGTGTGTGTGTGTGTCTTTGTGTGATGTCTCTCTCTCCTCCTGTTGTGCAGGCAAAAAAGACTAGCTGAGTGGCAAGCAACCAAACTGAAGAATAAATTTGGAGACGTTTTGGAGATCTCAGGAAAGGATTATGTTCAAGAAGTTACCAAAGCTGGAGAGGGCTTGTGGGTAATCTTGCATCTTTACAAACAAGGGTGAGTGACCTCATACTCTGTCTTGAAATGTTCATTTGAATTTGTGTTTTAAACATCTTGGGTGTTTAAACATCACAGGTTGTTTTGTGTGTTTTGTTGCTGATTTGCCCAAACCTCAATGCCTAATTTTTGTTTTAAGACTTTCAAATTAATATTCGTGATTCACACAAATGCCTTTGTTATGGTGCAACAATGAAGACTTTGTTTTTATTGCAAAGAAATTGCTAAGTTATTTATTCCTCTAGAGAAACTCTGGCTCTTCAGAATTTCATGTAATGAATCACTGTCGTAGGTGGCAAAGGTGACCTTTGTAATAATTGTCCGTAGCAAGTGGTGTAGAGGTCCGCTAGCATTTCTCACCTCCAGGCTTGTTGGACTGTAGAGTCTAGTGCTCGCGTAGGAGTTTCTTTAGAGCAGAAAATGTTTTCTGACATTTTCTGCATATTCTAAATCTTAAATGTTCTCGCACATAGAAGGGCATAATGATTACCTTTTACATTGCTGCTGTTTTCCTGATTTATTGTTGGGTCAAATGAAATTGGACTTTGGATTTTGAGTTCTTCACTTTCCCTTAACATACTGGAAGTTCTTTTGTGTTTTTTTTTAAGATTTTATTGGGGAATTGGGGAGAAGGAACAGCCAAGTTGTTGTCCTTCATTCTTAGTTGTGGAGGGTGCAGCTAGCTCAGCTCCATGCTCAGTCATCATCCGGCCACCCGTCTGCAACTCGTAGCTGCCCAGCTCAAGGTGCTGTGTTCAATCTTAGTTGCAGGTGGGCGAAGCCCACCATCTCATGCGGGAGTCGAACTGGCAACTTTGTTGTTAGGAGCACATGCTCTCACCAGCTGAGCCATCCTGCCACCTCTTGGCAGCTCAGGCAGCTCACTAGCCCATGTGGAAATCGAACCAGCAACCCTTTTGCTCAGAGCTCATGCTCTTAACCAACTGAGCCACTCGGCCGGCCCTAGAAGGTTTTTTTAAAAATGGTAATTCACCTTGACTGGAGTAGCAGACTCACTTGTGAGGTTTTGTTTAGGGCAGAGGGTAACTGAGCTTTGTGTCCAAATGCAGAATCACAATCACTTCTGTTTCTATTTTCCAGGATTCCCCTCTGCGCCCTGATAAATCAGCACCTCAGTGGACTTGCCAGGAAGTTTCCTGATGTCAAATTTATCAAAGCTATTTCAACAACCTGCATACCCAATTATCCTGATAGGAATCTGCCCACAATATTTGTTTATCTTGAAGGTGATATCAAGGCTCAGTTTATCGGCCCTCTGGTGTTTGGTGGCATGAACCTGACCATGGATGGTAAGGACCTCTTTGAGGTGGTCAGTGCATGATAGGCATGGCGAGGGATATTTCTGTTGAAGAGAGTACCTGTTTCCTTCCTAGACACGTGTTACGGTGATATAGTGATTTGTCAAGCTCAACTTTGCTCCTGTGGGAGGGATTGTTAAAAGGGAAGAAGCAGATTTAATCTCTCATCTTGGACCAGTCAATAGGGGCAGTTACAACTGAGCTCTAACAATTCTCAGTGAAAAGAAGACACAATTCGCTTCAAGCTATATGTATTTAATATTAATGTCTAATATGTTTTATTTATCCCTACACTTGAATATGTTTTAAGTTGTAGCTCAAGATCACATCATTTTTGTTTAATTCACATGAACATATTAATGACAGATGCTTACATGTATCTATATGTGTATATATAATTATATATAGTATATAAAATACCTCTATAGAAATATTTTCTCAGTTGAATCTTAGTAACTTTTAAATTAAATTAAAAGTTTGTTTAATTCTGCCTCTTAACTCCTGAAAGATGTGTCTTTTTATTTCTTTCTACCTGTTACAGAGGTGTCGTCAATATATGTATACACACGTTATTGAGAGAGATTGAGGCCTGAGGGCTTCCTGCTAAGTCCTTGATACAGTACTTCATATAACTCTTTATATAACATATTCAGCTAGGAAAAGTATAAACACACACACACACACACACACACACACACACACACACACGTTATATCCGTTATAACATTACCAGTGTTCAAAGGCATATAGCATTTCAAACTAAATATATGTTTGCATCTTATTTTGGTCTTTTCATCCGTATCATGGCAGGAGAAAAATAGATAGGTGTCTTTATTTGTAGAACAAGTCTTATTTAAGGATTAGTGAACTTAAAAAACAATGATTACTGTGTATTAGTGCATAATAACATGAATTACATACACTTACACATATGTATGTATGTGTGGATCTAAATGTATTCTTGAGTCAAGAATCAGACATCTTAAGTTTTGTTTTTTTGTACAAAATTTGAAAAGTCATAAATTTAACTGAGGTACCTGGAGCTGAAAATAACTGGTGTTATTCATCCCCATAAGCATTTAAAATTACTGTGACTTCAGTAAAATTGGTTGTCAGATTTTAATGAAGTACCTAATTTGCAGAGCCTGACTTTTAAACCAAGCTATTTGTTGTAGAATCTCGACTCCAGTCCCTTAGTTCTGTTTGGGTCCTCTCTGCAGTGGAAAAATACATCACCTGATTTTGTTTCATAAGGTCTCACACCCATGTGGAGGTTCACTGATTATAAGAGAGTAAAATATAGGAACTGAGCCTTTAGTCACTGATTCTTCATTTTCTGGTACTTTTTTGTTATTACTTGGAACAAATTATCAGTTCTGGGATGTCTTCAGACGTTTATCCTTTGATAGATTGAGATATTGGACCTGAGGCTTAAGAATTTCCTTTTGTAACTAAAATTATATTTAATGATTAGATTGCCAGCAGGATGGTGAAAATTATTTCCTTTAAATGTTTCATGCTGACTTTTTTCTCCTGGAAATTGAACATTCTGAGAAACTAGTCGTTAGAAGATATATTTAGTCTTTGTTCTTTCTTTTAATTACTAGATAGTTTCGAATATATGTAATATCTCATTTAAGCTCATCTTCTGGAAAAGTATTTGAAAGTTTTTGTTTTTTTTTAAATATTTTTATTGGGGAATTGGGGGAGGGGGACAGACAAGTTGCTGTCCCCTTGCTCTTCAGTCCAGCTGTGGAGGACATCGCTTCACTGGCCCATGTTGGTATTATCATTGCGCTGTTCCTGGCTGAGGCAGTCGCTCGCCAGCCATTGGACGGCCACTCACGGTGGCTCATGGCATCTCACGGCAGCTCACGAAAGCACATGCCAGCAGCCGGCCAGCCCCACTATAGCCTACACCGTCGCTGGTGACTCACGGCATCCCAGCTCCAGGTTGAGCTGTTGTTCACCATCTTAGCTGTAGAGAGTGCAGCGTCACTGGCCTCCATGTGGGATCTGAACCGGGGCCCCGCTGCTCAGAGCTGGCACCCCAAGCCAATTCCCAACCAGCGTGCTATTTGGGTGGCCCTTGAAAGTATTTTTGTTTTCTTTCTTAAAGGTCTGATTTTTTTTCCTTTCTTCTAAGCACCTTATAATGATGGCACTAAAATTAAATGGCCATCATATGATGATTGTGGTTTCTGCTTAGGAAAAACCTGTGGCTTGATGGACTTCAAGGTGAGGGCCATGTGTAGACTGTCTTAGGTGATTTGC